GTCCCCAAAAAAGTAAACCCCCCCCCCCCCCACCAGGGAGCCACAGCTGCTGCGTATAGCCCCCCATACAAGTCAATGGCTGTACATGGGTATACGCTGATACATGCATATAGCCACCTATGGGTCTGGACACAGATCCCAGGAAACCTGCATTCAGGGATCTACATCCATAGGCCAGGGACGTCCCGAGGCCGGGTGTCACTGGGAGCGGTTACCGGGTGACACCCCGCCGTGAAGTCACCACGCGTGTGTGCGATGACGCCATCATGCTTGTGCTGCGATCTTATTGATGCCTGCCGGCGGCCATCGTGAACGTTCGTTCTGTACAAATGGAGGCAAAAATGTATTTTATTAGATATATTTTCTTTCCAAGTCGAATGTAATGTAATGTGATACCACATTATGGCCACTAGATGGAGCTGAGCAGCATAGGAAATAAATTCTTACTTCTAGGCATGTCCCGATACCACTTCTTTAAGACCAAGTACAAGTACTTTCCCTCAGTTACTCGCCGATACCAATTACCGATACTTTTCCTAAAGGGGCATGTGAAATTTTTTCTAAAACAACACAGACCGATGATTTTAGGGCAGTTTCTCACCAGGGCTAAATACAGATGTCCCCAGAGCAGAACACATGTCCCCAAAGCAAAATACATGTCCCCTAAGCAGAATTAATCTCACCAGGCTGTGCGTCGATCCTGGCGACCTGTGGACAACTGCAGTAGCTCTGTGGGCACTCCACCTCACAGGCGATACTGGGCCCCGGGCCTCTTCCACCAGCAGACTGTCTCCCTTGGCTGTCTGGCAGACTATCTCCGCTGCTGGGCCCCGACCTCCATCCTTACCACTGCCTCCAGGCCCAGTCCGTGTCAGGGGGCGGCGGGACCCCCAGCTTTAAGTCCTGGGGCGGCCGCTCCGGCTGCACCGCGGGTAGTTCCGCCCCTGGGGCTGTCCATGGCTGTGCCTGCACCGGGAAGGAGGAGGAGGAGATAAAGAACCGGACAGCCACTGCCATGGACAGCTACTTGCAGGTCCCCACAAGCGCGGGAACTCAGCAGCCGCTGCAATTTAAAGGGTCGGTATCGACCTTAAGAATCAGAGCATTTTCATGAGTACTCGTGAAAATGCCTGGTATCGGCCCCGATACAGATACTAGTATCGGGACATCCCTATTTACTTCCTATGCTCCTCAGCTCCATCTAGTGTGGATAAAGCAATATGTGCAGACAAGGAACATGCTGACAGGAGGAGAGAGAACAGAGTGAGAAGAGAGTTGTCTCACTGTTCAGTCACAGGCTGAAGGTGGGGAAGTGACCCAACTTTATCTCTTAAATGCAACAGAGAATAATCCGGTCACCCACCAGAGCTGTGTATATTCTCAGGACTGGATGGACAGAAATCCTTAGACATACCTTATGCAGGGGCGTCCCGAGGCTTGGTGTCACCCGGAGCGGAGACCGGGTGACACCCAGCCGTGACGTCATCGCATATGCACGGTCCTCTTATTGACGCATGCCGCCGGTGATGGTGGACGGCAGAGAGAGGAGGGTACGTTCACCCGTCGGGGTGAGGTATGCCGCCGGGTCCCCTCCTCTCTCCTGTGACCAAGTGCACCAGACTTTTCATAGGGGGTGACACCAAAATGACTATCAGTCATATTGGTGTCGCCCCTCCAATGGTGGCACCCGGGTGCGGGCCGCACCCCCCTTTGTGACGCCACTGCCTTATGCGTGATCCCAGCTGGCTAGAGTGATTGGAAATGTGTCAGCGCCATTTAAGAAGAAAAGAAAGACAGATGAAAGAAAAGACATCAGAACACAGCGTGTGGGAAAAGCTCTAATTTTCCCAAATTCTCTGAACGCCAAAACAAGGCTGAAAAGGGGAACAAACTCGTTTTGTAATTTCATGAAGTGTATTTGGAGAGGAACGGTCCAAGTGCATTGTCAGGGGGAGTTTACAAAGAGCCGGCTGCGTGTTAGCTTTCTATGCTTGTCATTGTCAGCTATTTATAGACTCAAGTGACAGCCAAATGGGGCCAGACTTGTCCCTCTCGAGTGTTCGGCGCGCCTCTTCTAATGCGGCTGCTTTTAATAAGAAAAAACAAATTTTTGTGTCACTTACCTCTTCCTCTCGGTAAAATACACATTTTAATGAGTTTCTGTCTCATTCAAGCCTGGCACGCATTCGAGAGAGAACCCAATGTACACGGCCCTCCCGTCACTTGCTAATGCTGCCAATTCTTGACGCGCTTATCCATCACCAGGCTCTCAGGAAAGAATTTAAAGCGTCCCCGTGACGTCAACGGGCCCCCAAAAAAAGCCTCAATGCCAAGTTTAGACCGTTGTTTAGAGGCCTCACAATGAAGAGCCTGATAGCATGAGTTAAATCTATTTGCACACAAGAAACTCGATGCCCATTGTCTCGTCTACGGTTACCGCCAAGAGGCTGTGCCCTAAGACCATAAAGCCTTGCAGATGCAGAACCAGGAGGAGGATTAGCGGGACAACGTCGGATTAGGCGTTTGGGTAGCAGGACAAAAAAAATGAGCAAGCCGGAGTCAATAACCTCTTGCTTGGCCAAAATGTACGAGAGTAAGTTGGACCAAGGGCCTGGAAAATCCCCGGTCAAGCCTCCCGGACTGGCCAACAACACGGACAGCAAGCTGAACCTCCTCAACGAGAAGGTGGACAAGCTGCTACACTTTCAGGAAGACGTCATGGGCAAGCTGGAAATGGTTTCTCACGGTATGGACCTGCTGGAACAAGGGATTGATAAACTCTCAGCCTCTCATGGACCCAACCCAAAAGCAGACCCGGAGAATGTCGGACAAAGCAGCTTCTCGGAATTGATACGACTCCTCAAAATGTTACACGAAGAATCGGTTGTCCACCAGGAGAAACTAGACGGCCTGGAGAAGATGATGGCGACGATGGACAAGGTGGTGGCGTTCGTGGGGAACACTCTCAAAAGCTCTAAGATTGTGGATTTCGTTCTGAAGGGGACTGTTCCCTGGAAGAAGAAGGAGGAGGTTGGTGACTATTCTTATGCAGCTTTCTTAAGTCTAAGGCTGGGCTCACACCTGGGCGTACCATAGGCGCGTTTTTTCTGCTCGTTTTTTAGAACGTTTTTTTCGTTCAGTGAAATGCGCGTTTTTATACCTCCCTATCGGTATGATTTTTTTTAATTTTTCCTTTATTTTCTCTATCTTTTTTAAACTTTCAAACTTCCCGCCGCTTCCGCCCCCCGCAAGGGACGGAACCCGGAAGTCGGGAGCGGCCGGAGGACACAGCGGGGATCGCGGACACGGTAAGTCCTACGCTGTATTCCGGAGTGTGGCTCGGGGTTACCGCTTTGTTAACCCCGATCCACACTCGGGAATACCAATGGATACGTGCGGAAAAACGCCCCAAAGAAGCTCCTGTACTTGTTTGGGCGTAGGGTGTTTTTCAGCGCCCCTGAGGGGCGGGCTTCCGACGACCGCAATGCTTAACGGGCAGTGCACACCGGCCAGTTCGGCATTTGTCTCCCGAGCACCGTTCAAACCAGCCGAAAATCGTAAGATTTTCGGCTGGTTTTCTAGCGTGCTCCTTAGACAAAAGACGTGCGACCGTACAGTAGAAACGGTCGCACGTCTTCATTCACACTGCACGATTCTCGTACGATCGCGGGATTTTCTGGCGATGCTCGTACGAGAATCGTGCAGTGTATGGGCACCTTAAGGGTCAGCTGTATGCTTGAAGGTCCGGGGCAAGCTTTCCGTCAAGGGTTCAGGCTGATTGCTGATTAGCTAGAGTAGGAGATGAATGCCTCTGCTTCCTAATGCCTTAGTGACTCCGCGGGGAAAGCGGTCGTCATGTAGAAGACATCTAGCCGTCCTCATTAATTATACAATGAAGTCAGAAGGTTTCATCACTTAGGGGCAGCAGAGATGTTCCCGGATGAGTGATTGAAGGAAGGTCGGGGGCCCACTTCAGTATAATGAGAGTGATTTCAGTGTGCTCCATTAGACAAAAGCTTGAAGCATAATCTTCATGCCGGAGTATATCTGGGGAATCTTTCTAGGGCTATGATGACACGTAGCAATTTATTGATATATTTAACTCCCGAGCAAAGAAAAAAGGAAACCCAACCACCCCAAAAAAACAGTTTTCATGATATGAATGGTGCTTTTCCATTGAGGTTCAACTATATCTAAAGCCAGGGGGGTGCGGCCCGCACCCGGGTGACACCATTGGAGGGGTGACACCAAAATGCCACCCCCTCTAAAAGTCGGGCACTCGAACCGAGAGCCCGACCGTGTCAGGAGAAAGGGAGGGACCCGGCGGCATACCTCATCCTGCGGGGTGAACGTCCCCTCCTCTCTCTGCCGGTGTTCTATCGAAAGTTCCAACTTATTGAGTTCTCTAACTGCCTGACTTCCGGTTGGTTTAGTTAGAACTAAGAGGTTTGGCCAAGAAAGTTCTTCTGCACCAGTGCCAGCCGAGGCATTGCCCTATACTTCTCCTTCAGGGGCCTCGGAACTCCAGGGGTGACAAAACTACAAGTCCCATGAGGCATTGAAAGGCTCTGACAGCCACAGGCATCATGCGTCATCCCTCAGGCAGAGAAATGATAGGATTTGTAGTTTCACCACACCTGGAGTGCCGCGATTGCTTACCCCTGACGTATCGCGTTCACCATTCAAGTGTATCTCTAGCCCAAAAAGTTTTGGAAGGATTAGAACCCCTGTCAGGATTTGTTGCTTCCTTTGTCCCCATTGGGGGAGATTCCCCCTCTCTGTTTGTCCCGGCGACCATTGTGACCGGGACAGAACGTGATAAAACCATCACCAGGAACAGGGGGGGGGATTTTCCAATGGGGACACCTGTTCTGGAAACAACTGTTGAGAGATTTCCCCTCATTTCCTGTTGTATCTCCAGGACAGGATGTGAAAGGAAATTCCCCTCCAAAGGGACAACGGAGAACCTGAGGTTGGTTTTAACCCTTTCCTAGTCTATCGTAAAACAAAATAATCAAACTTGGCTTTAGACGGGGGGCGTCCCGAGGCCAGGGGGGTCACCCGGAGCAGAGACCGGGTGACACCCCGCCGTGACGTCATCGCGCATGCGCTGTCATCTAATTGACGCCTGCCGGCGGCCATCTTAGTGATGGACGCCGGTGTTCTAACCCCCATGCAGCAAACTCACGTTCCTGTTCCCAACCTGCAAGCACCAACATGTTCCATGTGGAGGTGCAACACGGTCCTACAGGGTGTCTATGAGACTTTAGCGCCTCCCGGAAAAGCGCTGCGCGGTTGATCGTTTCTCAGAGCGGCGGCTTCCAGGAGGGAATGCTGCCACCTGCGGAATGCGTGTTTTCATTGATCCCCAGTTGGATCTCAGATGGGACTACGTTTGGCGCGGTCCCATTCACCTCAATGGTCAGCGTTCTCCTGTAAAACATCCAATCGATGGGCGCGATGGTCTGTTCGCCGTTCGCCGTTCATATCCTTCGATAAGAAAATCCCCAAACTGAGTTTTATTCTTCAGCGTCACGTAGATCCCCCGAAGCGCGTAAAATACGGATGATGAAGCGACATCCAGAACTCGGCAGACACGACGACGGTGATAAGGGAATTTTAAATGACTTGTAGACGGAATATAAAGCAGCGCGTCTCCCCCCTGAGCCGTCTCCCGGTAACAGGCCGGGCTGATGTCAGATCCATCATTGTGATTAAATATGGTGCCCGGGGTGGGGAGGGGGAGGGGGGGTTTCATCTGCCCCCCTTCCCCCTCCCCCCCCCCCCCTTCCCCCTCCCCCCCCCCTGTGGAGTCTGTAAATTAATATTGTTCCATGTTTCGGGGGGACAGAGATGGACGGCGCTGATTTGCCGGCACCTGATGTCCGCGGAGGAGCGCAAATTGAATTCTGTAAATAGTTATTTGGGTTCTTACAGGGAAAAAAAGACAAAATTTAAAGTGAACCTGTCATCAGACAAGAAGAAAATCATTGGCCGGCTGGAAAGATGTGCAGAGTTTGGCTTGCTTCCATAGGGCTCATGCACGCCCTTGGGATCCCCCGAACCTGGATGTTAAAGTGGACCTGTCTTATCATATATTTATTGCATGTTAAGCACAGTAACAGAAGTAATGTGTCACTGTAATGCTTCCAGGTATTTATTACCTCTCAGAGCGATCACAGGACTCCCCCTGACAATGCCTTAATCTTCTTTTCTCTCCAGAATGAGGGCACCATCTTTGTTCAGCCATCATCCATCGATGACGCAATCATGTAAATTAGGATGAACTAATGTGCAGTTCTTGGCTGTGGTCACAAATGTCTGACACAGATCAGCCCCTACTGCAACCTCTTATATTCTGTCTTGCTACAAAGATACAATGCTGCAGTCTGATCACTGGGGGAGGGGAGACTGTGGAAATGCTTCCTCCTGCCTGCAGCAGACTGATCACTGGGGGAGAGGAGACTGAGGAAATGCTTCCTTCTTCCTGCAGCAGACTGATCACTGGGGGGGGGGGGGACTGAGGAAATGCTGCCTCCTGCCTGCAGCAGTCTGATCCCTGGGGGAGGGGGAGACTGATTAAATGCTTAGCCTGCAACTGATTTTGCCACAGCAGTTGCTCAGCTTGTTCTGTAGCAACTCTATCTCCTTATATAAAATACCATAAAGGATGCATGGAATGGCAAGGAATATGTAAGGATTCTGGGGAGCAGACTTCTATCTCCCGGGTCTCCTCCTTGTGTAACGATCATTGTTAACTGTTGCAATTGTTTTTATTCCGAAGGCCAAAGATGACTCGGAGGAGAAGGAAAGCAAACCGAAGCACGTCCTGGCCAGCAGAGGATCACAGATCGACGTGCAGAGACCACCAGCAAGTGAGTGGAAATTGAATGGCAATCAATTTTTCTTTGGAGTGTGTCTGGCCATTGGAGGAGCCCAGCCATTGAGTCCGGTCCCTGCTGAACCTAGAGGGCTATTTATTCCGGTCACAAAATGGCCGCCTCCTTCACATACTTTGTAGCCTTATCACCGAGGACTTCAGTGCAGAGCTGAGAGGTGAGATGATCCAAGATGGCTCCCTACATCCCTTCCTCCAAGTGCAGGGCTCCATCTTGGATCAGGTATTGTCCAATCAGATATCAGAGTGTCCATGGCTGCTAAGGGCCAGGCAGGGAGATGTGTAAGGGCCAAACACATCTCCTTGCCCAGCTCTTAGCAACCTGGGGCGCTCTGGCCGGCGTCTAACACAGCTCCTGGCAACCAGTGACACCTCAGAGCATTCCAGGCTGCTAAAAGCCTGGCGGGGAGTGCAGAGCCCGCAGAGGGCGGTGTCACTCTCATGTCTGGTGGCGCTGTCACCTCTACCCACCGCCCGCTGCTCTGATTGCATGCACCCCCCCCCCCACCTCAGGTAGCAAAAAGTCTAAGGACACCACTAGGGTAGCATAAGGGCATGTGGAAGAGGGTCAATCTACCCAAAATATGGCCAAATCTGGTGGGTGGGAAGTATATGGAGACAAAAGGGAAGGTGGGAAAGAGCAAATTTAAGCCAAGTAGGGTGAAAATTGGAGAATGAAAAGTAAGGTGAAGTGAAAGTGGAAAAGGACCAATCTACCTGACATAGGATGGAAAGTGGAGGGTAAATGGGTAAAGTGCAGAAGGGCCATTCTACTCCAGGTAGGGTGAAAACTGATGGAGGAAAAGTAGGGTGATGTAGACTTCAAAGGAATGGTGTAAAAGGGTCAGTCTACCCAAAGTATGGCCAAAACTGGAGGGTGGGAAGTTTTGGAGACAAAGGGGAAGGTGGAAAAGAGCAAATCTAAACCAAATCGGGTGAAAACTGGTGGAGGAAAAGTAGGAAGAAGCAGAAGCAGAACGGAAAGTGGAAAAGAACCAATCTACCTGACGTCGGATGCAAACTGTAAGGTTAATAGGTAAAGTGGAAAAGGGCCATTCTACTCCAGGTTGGATGAGGTGGAGAAGGTCTAGAGGAGGAAAAGTAGGGTGATGTGGAAAAGGGCCATTCTACTCCAGGTAGGGTGAAAACTGATGGAGGAAAAGTAGGAAGAACTGGGAGCAGAGCAGAAAGTGGGAAGGAACCAATCTACAAACTTTGAGTGTAAATAGTAGGTGAGGTGGAGAAGGGCCATTATACTGCACATAGGGTGAAAACTGGAGGAGGAAAAGAAGGGTGATGTGGACTTTAAAGGAAAGGTGTAAAAGGGCCAGTCTACCCAAAGTATGGCCAAAAATGGAGGGTGGGAAGTATGTGTAGACTAAAAAGGGAAGGTGGGAAAGAACAAATCTAAACCAAGTAGGGTGTAAATTCAAGGATGAAAAGTAGGGTGAAGTGGAAGCAGAATGGAAAGTGGAAAGGAACCAATCTGGAAACTTTGAGTGTAAATAGTAGGTGAGGTGGAGAAGGGCCATTTGACTCCAGGTAGGGTGAAAACTGGAGGAGGAAAAGTAGGGTGATGTGGACTTCAAAGGAAAGGTGTAAAAAGGCCAGTCTACCCAAAACTGATGTTTTAGTCATAGGTGAAGACTGACTAGCTTGTTATTTCTATAGAATAAATCTTTTTCCTAGAACATTTGTCTCTCTCCACTCCTCTTCCGTATTCCGGGAATATTCCATAATGCAAACAAAAAACCCAACGGAGATAGTGAGCCCCCTATTTACTGCTGTGGCGGAGAAGCTAAGTGTAACTGTGACTAGGCTTTGGACATTGAGAGGAACCCTGGGTGAGCTTTAATACAATTCCTCACTGAGGCCTGTAGCTGCAGGCACTATGGCTCCATTAGTGCTCAAAGTTCACAAGAGATGCAGTAAAGTCTTCTCTTAGTAGCTTAGCTCACTCTTCTCCCCCTCCCAATAGTGACCTAGCAGCCTCCTAACCTTAAATTGTATAGCAGGAGCTTTGACAAAGGAAGCCGAGCTTTTCGAGAGAAATCAACTTGTCACTCCAAAGTGCCTTCAGTTACTGGGGTAAGTGAGACCTTGTGTTAAAGCTCATTAACTGATGTAAATACTGGAATGTCCATAGCCCGGCCACAGTTACACTTTGAGCCGGGCTGAATCCCTGGGAAGTGTAAAACATAAAGTGTATGATTCTACCTGCTTGCATTCACCCCAATAAAATGTAGATGCATACATTCCGGTATTGGTTTGTTTTGCAGCCCCACAGAAGAGCAGCAGCACAGAAGGCAGAAGACTCGGCCACAAGACAGCTCGGTGTAGCAGTCACCATACCAAAGCCGACTCTACCGATGTTCAGACTTTAGATATACCTCAGCAACCTGACAGCTGTCATATTGCCAAACCTTGGGCACAGAAAGTGGCCGGAGAGCTACCAGGAGAGAAAAGTGCCCCATCAGATCCAGATGCCCAGTATATAAAACCTTCCCTCCCCCCAGCAGCAGACCAGAATTCCAAACTCCAAGAACCTAAGCAGATCGTTGAGGAACCTGGAGGAGATCCCGGTCTCCTTACTCAAAATCACATTTCTGCAACATGCCCGCCAGCTTTAAAAGGCCCTCTCCAAAGGTACGGAGGTCCTCAGGATTTCTTCATGTTATCTGAGTTGATTATCTCACCAACATTGTATACATTATCTATGGCGCCATTACTCGCCAGTTGTGGATCAGACCTCGATAAAACAATCCTTCACTGACCCAAAATGCATATGAGCTACTTTTTGTATATCATGAGATGTGGCACTGAAGGGGAGCACTGGGCACCTTGCAACCTCTCAGGGTTTGCCTGTTCGACTGTTCATGTACCATGGGTAGATGGTTGCCCCAAAAATGTTTATATCATGCAACAACTTCAAATGGTATATGCAGGGCTGGATTTCCCACAAGGCCAACCGAGGCCCGGCCTTCGGGCAGCAGGGAGTAGAGGGGCAGCAGTGGTGTGGAATTCTTTCCTCCCGATGCTCAGGACATTCAGTTCCCGGAACTGGGCGGGTAGTTGTTTTCTACATTTATGGGGGGGGGGGGGGCACATTTAGGAACCTGGCCTTGGGGCAGCAGAGAGAGTAAATCCGGCCCTGGGTATATGGGCAGACTAAAGTCAGTCAAAGACATGAGATGGTGGTCAGGTGTGTAGGCACAATTATGATGTATACTTCTTTATTTTTTTTTTAGGAAAAGCACTTGTTCCCAGACCGAGGAGATGAGCAGAACAGAACCAGAAAATAAACCAAAGTCAGACGTGAATACGCCAGCGTCGGCACCACAGACAGCCCACATTACAAGTAAGGACAAGAAGACATCCTCTGCTACCCAAACTGAGGAGCCCGTGCCAACCCAGGAGAAGGCCCACACGGACCTAAAACAAGACAAGGGAGTGAAGGGAGCAGTAAAACACAGCCTAACAGAACTGGTTAAAAAGGACTGTGGTTCTGTCCCAACTCCCGGTCAAACTCCTGTCACGAAACCACCAGAAGACACGAGGAAGGCTCTGGAGGACTCGTCCCTCCATGTTATAGGTAAGAAGACAAAATCATGCTTTGGTCCAGTTGACACTCGTTCCCGGTCCGTCAATCTAACAAGACTGCCATTTGCCAGACGTTAGTCCAGTGACAGCTTGAGCATCTTTTGGAAGTGTCAAGTCCAGGAGAGCCTCTGGTCAGGTGGACTTCCATGTTGTAGTGGCAGGTTACTTTGTAGGGGAGTCGTGTCTGAAATGTTTAAATGTCATTGAACACTCTTTCGGCTGCTGGACAGGAAGGGGAAGTTCCTTGGTGGTTTCACCGTCAGGAGAGATAGGTGGAATTTACATGTGTGGCGGTGTTCACTGGTTGTCCAAACAAGAGGTGGAGCAGTGGCACCGGGCAGGGCCGGATTTCCCACAAGGCCACCGAGGTCTGGGCTTGGGGCGGCAGGGAGTTGAGGGGCGGCACAGCCGCCGGGCAAATGTACAGCTGCTCGTTTTGTACAAGTGATTTCGGCGATGTCAGATCCGTCCCTCGTGCCGCCCCCCTCCATGGTCCGCCCCCATCTCACCTGGCTGCCTCTATCCCTGCCGTGGTTTTCAGGGTTCCCCTGCTCTTCTGGAGGACCCGGGACCGCGGCAATCACTTCAGGATGGAGAGCATGGGGAGCAGAGCGGAGAATGTCCCTTCTCGGCTCTGCTCCGTGTAAACAGTGAGAGGGGAGAGCTGCACTCGCAGCCTTCCCATCTCAGCTGTCACAGGAGACTAGTGCTGTGCTAGAACTCCTGTATTGGAGGTGACAGGCTCCATAAAGAGAACCTGTCACCTCCAAATAATATCACACAGGGGCTTGTTAGCTCCTGTATGATAGCA